TTCCTTCCTTCCTTCCTTCCTTCCTTCCTTCCTTCCTTCCTTCCTTCCTTCCTTCCTTCCTTCCTTCCTTCCTTCTCTCTCCTTCCTTTCTTCCTGCTGCCTGCCTGCCTTCCTTCCTTCTTGCTTGATCCTTACCTCCCAACCTGAATTACCCGACAGATCCCATTTTCACATGGCTGCTTTCTAGCCTTTATCTGCTGGATCTTTGCAGCCAGAACTGGCAGCCCTAAGTGAACTCATGTTGACGGTCCTCATGGTACATTTGGTTATAAATGAATCAAATGCTCCAGGTTCACACAACATGTAAGCCACCAAAAAAACCCTGGAATCCACCATCCTTAAGGTTAAAAATAACCAAATGTGAATGGAGTCACTGTGTTTATAAATTATTTGGTTAAGCTGTTGGGTGAATGCAGTCTTACACTGGCAATTTCTGTCACTGAGTAAATTATATCCCTACTTCAGAAAAAAAATATTTGAAAGGTCAATATCCATCTGTTTTAATGTTTAATGTTTGATTCTTCACTCTGGGATGAGAATGGGAGTGAAAGTGATGAAATGAGGCAGGAATGAGCTACCCAGTTCTCCAGATGTTTTGGACTCCACCTCTCACCAGCAGCCAGCATCACCAGTAGATAGGGAAGATAGAAGCTGTAACAAGTTGTTGTATCTCTAGAGTAGTTCTAGAGTCACAACTTTGGCTCATTTTAGCTCATTACAGTATTATTTTCACTAGCTGGGTTCACATTTTGCACTAAACCAGCGATGGCGAACCTATGATACCCATGTCAAAGGTGACACACCATGACTTTTGGGTGACATGCCAGCGTTCATCAACACCCAACAACTATTCTCCTTGTTTGAGTTACCAAAGAAAGTGAGTTTGCTTTACTCGTATTTCATTTTTGTAATTATTTGATGTTTCTTTACATAATACATAACACCACACATGATTGGACTGTATTTTTTTTTAATAAATGAATATGTAAAGAATCGCTTCTCTTTTGTTTGGGGGAGGGGGGGTGACATGCCAGCAAAGTCAAGTTAGGCATTTTCTGAATTTTTGACACTCCGAGCCCAAAAGGCTTACCCACTAAACCAAATCAGACCCAGCCCATTAGGGCTTAGCATGGCGGATGAATCTCGACCATTGAAAAGCAAAAGATTTGGGATCAGCTTTCAAACAAGCCCATTCTATAGCCAACCAAGTGGCATTTGTCCATCAAAAAAACAGACTTGCCATCACAGAAGATTTGGTGTTCCAGCTACAGACAACAAAGTGGGGATTCTTGAATTATTAAGTGTCAAATGAGGATACTTCCAGACTGAGGCTTTCCCAAGGCATTGTACCCCTGCATTGTCTTCACAGATTTTTAAAAAGCTTTTAAGTGGCAAACCCAGAATATGGAAGATGCTGGGGGGAAACACAAAACAGTCACATTTCCAAAATAGAAGATCCATGGGTCTTCTGTAATATTCTGTGAACAAGGTAATGTAATGGCCTCATCTGGAAGAATCTCAGGTTGCATGGGAGAGCATCTAACCACTGCTCCTCTAGGTCAGTGTTTCTCAACCTTGGCAACTTTAAGATGAGTGGACTTCAATTCCCAGAATTCCCCAGCCAACATGCTGGCTGAGGAATTCTGGGAGTTGAAGTCCTCCCATCCTAAACTTGCCAAGGTTGTGAAACACTGGTTTAGCTGGTAAGAACTGTGTATCTGTGCCTTCATTCATCAGACTTAGGTTCACCCTCACCTCTGTAGCTCCTTCAGTTAATGCAGTGTTTCTCAACCTTGGCAAGTTTAAGATGGGTGGACACCAACTCCCAGAAGTGCTGGCTGGGGAATTCTGGGAGTTGAAGTCCACCCATCTTAAATTCGCTAAGGTTGAGAAACACTGCTCTGGATACTTCAGAGAGGAAGAAGGCAAAATATTCATACAACCAGAAGGGGAAATAAATAGAGGGTTAACAAGCTTATTGGGGAAGTTAAATGCCATTAAAACAAGCATTACTTCAAGACAGATACATATGATTCCTAGATTAATGCCTGTAACATATTTCAGGCAGATTGGTATACCTGTGTCAAGGCCTATGCAGCTGGGCAAGACCAAGGAAGTAAGATCCTGGAATCTTCCAGGAAGGTCTCCTAAAAGCTCCTCTGGGGTAAATCCAGTATCTTGAAAACCACAACTGGAATTCCCCAGCTTCAATTATAAGGCATTTATGAAGATGGAGTCCCTGCAATATTTAAAATGCTTCTTCCCAAGTTTCTTGCCACGCGGGCTGAGTTGCCCTTTATGAAACAAGCTGACAACAGCTGTCCCAGCTGCCCCACACAGCCGACTCTGACCAGGATCAACCCGTGTAAGGCGAGACTCTCTGGAAAAATGGCTAGTGATGGCCCATTGTCATGAGGTGAGGGGGGCTGAGACCCCCAAATGTGGCTTCTGAGTTATGGCACCGACTGGGGGACAGCCTCCGGCTAGAAGTGGAATCAGGGCCTTGCAGAAAGTGGTAAAACCGGAGTTTTTCCAAAGGGCCTTCAGAGACAAATTGTTTCCATTGCATCAACAGTTTTGGTTTATTATTCAGCTTAATTGGTATTTTTGTTATGGCTTGGGATGGGCGGAGGGGTTTTGGAATTATTACCCTGGATGTTTTAGTGTTTCATTGTATGTTTTCTGTTTTTGTGAGGAAGGAAGTGGCAACAAACAGTAAGTTACTAAGAAAGTTTTAAGGGGAGGGACAAACCTCTATTTAAACTTTTATGTAAGTTGCATCTGCAATTGTTTTTGTTGTGTGTGTGTGTGTGTGTGTGTGTGTATATATATATATATATATATATATATATATATATATATATATATATATAAACATTACATTATATCATATCATATCGATAGATAGATAGATACAGATACAGATACAGATACATAAAAGTCAAGGTGGCCAACATACCTAATGCTCCTTCCTTCCTCCTCCTCTTTCCCCACAACAATAACCCTGTGAAGTGGGTTGGGCTGAGAGAGAGGGACTGGGCCAAAGTCTCCCAGCCAGCTTTCATGCCTAGGGAAGGCTTAAAACTCACCACCTCCTGTGGGGAGATGTACTATCAGACTTGCAAGATTCTGTTAATGTAGCCTTACAATAAAGTAGAATTAGCTCATCTGGCTGTGTTTCCTATTTGATCTACCTGGGAAGGCTAACACATGCCAGCAAATGCACAAGACATTTGGGTACAGGAAGAAACTATTAGAATATTGTTTATATCATCTTTATGGTTGATCATCACATTTGGGTATGTTTTACAATGTACATAATACACAAATACAATAATATATGTGTGTAGCGTATAAATGACAGCCAGTTTGGCATAGTGGTTAAGGAATTAAGCTAGAAACTGTGAGACCATGAGTTCCAGTCCTGCCTGAGGCACAAAGCCAGCTGGGTGACCTTGGGCCAGTCCCTCTTTCTCAGCCCTAGGAAGCAGGCAAGAGCACAACCACTTCCAAAATCTTGTCAAGAAAACTGCAGGAACTTGAGCAGTTGCTAGGAGTCAACTGACTCAAAGGCACACACACACACATACACACACACGTTTATAAATACACATACATACATAAGGGGTGATTGATTGATTACGTGCGATCAAGTCATTTTTGACTCCCAGAGACCACATAGATAGATAGACCACTTAGGGTCTATCAAAATCCTTTTACCAATAAGGGTGCGTGATCCAAAGAGCTCAGAGATGTCTGATGTCAAGAACTCCACAAATAAGGGCCTGCAGTTCAACAAGAGTTGTTTTCAAGGGGTCGCCAGTAAGGGCCGGCAGAGCACAGGTTCCCTCCATTTACAAGAATTGGGCTTTTAACAATCTGCTGTGTAGATTTCATTCCAAATGCTTATTTTCAAGAGTAAGCACATTTTGGGTAAAAAGCGCCAACCAAATGGGGAAATCACCAGCCAGTTTTCTGCCTGTCAAAACCTGTTCTGAGAAAGTAGGGCAGAGTTTTCAAACTTTTGCCGTTAATGGTATTCAACTGACCCAACAGAAGGAAGGAGCTCTGTTGCTTCTTATCACTCTGCACATGGCGGAATACTTAAAGGTGGTAGATCAGGGACATGGTATTCATTTAAGGAAATATGTTCAGTGTAGAGATAAAGGCTTAGGGACCGAATTTCCCCATTTTACCTGATATACGTTTCTAAAGCCAACAATTC